CTGGTCACACAGAGTTCTGACAGACCAACTGCAGACTGAGATTTACTGAGGCCAGAACGACACATAGAGAAGCTCCTTTACACTCCTCTGTGAACCAGGATTTCTCTCCCTGTAACCATCGAACCATCAAACCATCAAAACCATCGAACCATCAAAACCATCAAAACCATCAAAACCATCGAACCATCAAAACCATCAAACCATCAAAACCATCAAATCATCAAAACCATCGAACCATCAAACCATCAAAACCATCGAACCATCAAAACCATCAAAACCATCAAACCATCAAATCCTCAAAACCATCGAACTATCAAAACCATCAAAACCATCGAACCATCAAAACCATCAAACCATCAAAACCATTGAACCATCAAAACCATCAAACCATCAAAACCATCGAACCATCAAAACCATCAAAACCATCGAACTATCAAAACCATCAAAACCATCGAACCATCGAACCATCAAAACCATCAAACCATCAAAACCATTGAACCATCAAAACCATCAAACCATCAAAACCATCGAACCATCAAAACCATCAAACCATCAAAACCATCAAACTATGGAACCATCAAAACCATCGAACCCTCAAAACTATCAAACCCTCAAAACCATTGAACCATCAAAACCATCAAAACCATCAAAACCATCGAACCATCAAATCATCAAAACCATCAAACCATCAAAACCATCGAACTATCAAAACCATCAAACCATTGAACCATCAAATCATCAAAACCATCGAACCATCAAAACCATCAAACTATCAAAACCATCAAAACCATCAAACCATCAAAACCATCAAAACCATCAAACCATCGAACCATCAAAACTATTGAACCCTCAAAACTATCAAACCCTCAAAACCATCGAACCATCAACACCATCAAACCATCGAACCATTAAAACATCGAACCATTAAAACCATCAAAACCATCAAACCACCAAAACCATTGAATCATCCAAACCATTGAACTATCAAACCATCAAAACCATCGAACCATCAAAACCATTGAACCATCAAACCATCAAAACCATTGAACCATCAAAACCATTGAACCATCAAAACCATCAAAACCAGTGAAACATCAAAACCATTGAACCATCAAAACCATCGAACCATCAAAACCATCAAACTATCAAACTATTAAAACCATCAAAACCATTGAACCATCAAACTATCAACAAACAACCCCCCCCCCCTTAAAACTGCGCCTCGTCCAAACATCCAATCAGAGCTGTGTTTAGAGACATGTGACATCATGTTAAACCAAAAACCAGCTGAGCATGAACATAAATAGGAAAGAAATACATACATATTCAGGTCAGACACAGTGTTGTATTGTTGGTTGTATAGTGCTGTTGCCATGGTTACCTGTAGTTTAATACAGCTTGATTTAGAACAGTGGTTTGACAGCAGCTTAACTCGCAGCTTCATATTCAGACACGCTCAGATCACAGGGAGTCTTCACAGACTATAGCAATGTGTTTACATGTGTCCGTGCACATTGAGTTTCTTTAACTTCTTTGGCCGGGTCAGTTCTGATGTTCTGTCTCCAGCTGTCTATATGAAGATCCTCTGAGTTACAGCAGCAGGACTGATACGAGCTTCTCTAAATCAACCAGGACTGAGCTCATTCTAACTCACATGGCGCAGCAGCAGTTACTTCATTAATCATTTATACTTAAGACTTCCTGCAGTTTAGTCCTGACCTTGAGGTTGCCCGCCAATAAAGAGTTCCCTCATGTAACTGCCAACAATTCTGATACGACCGACCCAGTGGGACACAACATGCTAATCAGTGAGCTTCAGAGACAGAGCCAGGCTAGCTGTTTCCGGTCTGTATGTTAAGCTAAGCTACCTGTTTCCCCTTGTTTCCAGTCTTAATGCTAAGCTAAGATAGCTGTTTCCCCGTTTCCAAACCCATAGGATTGTACTGCCCCCTCACATGAGAGTTGTTTCAATTTTTCATGCAACTCTTAAGAAATAGTCAATAATCAATTAGTCAATCAAAAGCAAATCAATCTGTTGGATGATCATTCTAGTTTTTAGCAAAATGGCAAAAATGTGCAGACACTTGTCAGATGATTGTGAGGTTAATATCTTTGAGTTTCACAGACAAAACAATTAATCAATAATGAAAACAATAATCAGTTGCAGCCCTGAAGTAAATGAATGTTTTATTCAAAATGAGAAACTAAAAGAAAACAACCGACAAGTTCAACTGGTAATCAGAACACTGCTGTGGACACGTAATGGATTTCCTTTAGAGAAAGACAAATGATCAACTGTGAAAGTGACTGCACACAATATAAATATACACACACACACACATATATATATATATACATATGTGTTTAATGCACATATAATTTAATTAACATGATCTATATAACTGATGTGAACAGACACCTGCAGCTGATCTGAGAGCAGGAGCCTCTGTCAGTAAAACTTTCTGTCAGTTCCTGACAGAAAGTTGTTCATTAACTGCAGCAGTAAAAGGTTTTTTGTTCGCCGTCGTTCATCTGGAAACAGAGTGAACGTATCTCACACTGACTAGGATTAAACATCAGCTGCAACAGCCTGGAAAGTTTTCAACCAAACCCGTTCAAACAAAGTCTCAACCACTCCGACCACGTTACTGATCCCGTCTCATCTCCTCCCACAGCAGCTCAGAAAACTAAAAAAGATGATTTCACTCATTTGTTTTTTGTTTTTGTTTTTTTGGGGGGGGGGCTGATGCAACCGTGATGTCACTGTGATGTCACTTCAGTGCAGCTCAGGCTGGAAATGAACTCAAAAACCCTGAAAGTGTGAGTAAGAGAGGTGATGAGATCATTCAGCCATTCACCGAACGACGAGACACGTTCACACTCGTTCACACTCTTACCATCCGAAGCCTCCGAACGACACGCTCCTCTTCCTCCTCAGCATGGTCCCTCGCTCGCGCTCTCCTCCTCTTTGTCTTCCCTTTCTTCTTATTGTGTCTGGATTTTCCTCTCTCTCTCCCTGTCTCTCTGCCTCCCTCTCTCGTCTCTCTCCTCCCTCCTTCTCTCTTTCTCTCTCTTTCGCGTCGTTCTATCTCCTCATCTCTCTACCTATAAATACTCCCATCTCCATCAGACGCCCTCCTTCACACGCTCTTACCGCCTCCCTCTCTCTCTCTCCTCTCCTACTATCGCTCTACCTCGCTCACTCACTCTTTCTGCCTCTCTTTATCCTCTGGCTGTCTTCTCCTGCCGTTAATGTTTCCCTCCTCCTCCACTTCAATTCACTGCACACACAGCTGGGAGAGAGAGAGTGGGCGAGAGACATAAAGAGAGAATAGAAATGGAGGTATTTCTGGTGTCCTCTCTCTCTCTCTCTCCCTCTCTCTCTCCCCCCGCCCTGACGATGCAGAGACGCCGTGGGTCTGAAAACTTATCATACATAATAAATGGAGATAAATGGACGGATACAGGCATTAGTTTACTGGATTAGATGTTATGTAAGAAACTGAAGCTGCAGCTGAAGATGTGACTTCACAGTGAGAAAATGAACTGACAAACCTTCAGCTCAATCAGTCGACACACAACTGATGATCATTTATTTGTCTCAGTGAAAAAGGCAAAAATACCAAAGATTTCCTCTGTTTCCAATCTGTATGCTAAGCTAAGGTAACTGTTTCTCCTGTTTCCGGTCTGTATGCTAAGCTAAGATAGCTGTTTCCTTTGTTTCCACTCTGTATGCTAAGCTAAGATAGCTGTTTCCCCTGTTTCCGGTCTGTATGCTAAGCTAAGATAGGGGGGGGACTCGTTCAAACTCGTTCCTCCAGCTCCGGTAAACTGTAACTGTAGTTTTAACCAAACACTGAAATGGACTGTGTTAAGGAGGTTAATATCTCACAGCAGCTACATTCATTTATACAGAGACTTAAACACTACAACCAGCCGTGTGTGTGTGTGTGTGTGTGTGTTCTTTTGCTGAAAAGAAGGCTGAATTTGGAGGAGGTAGGTAGGCCAACATATCCCAAGATGCATTGCACGCCAGTAATGAAAGCAAACAACACAGACAGAGAGACACTTTTAACTGTAAGTGTTTTGTTTCAGCTCAGGTCAACAGCTGTTAAAGCCCGGGGCCTTATAACCTCAAGTTTTTGTGAAAAAAAGTTAAGTTTTGCCAAGGTTACCAGGCAACAGGAGCTGTGCTTTGCAACGGCACGCACAGCTGGTGACGCACAGCATTAATCCTCCGTAGATCAGACCGTCTCATTTCAGTTCAGCCTTCACGGTCTACGACGAATTGTGACACAGCTATAGAGTACAACAGCACTGGGACCTTTAACTGGGACTCCACAGGAGACTGTTCTGGCTCCGTTCCTGTTCACCCTGTATGACACAGCTATTGTGGCATGTATCAGGAAGGGGCAGGAAGAGGAGTACAGGGATCTGACGACGGTGAATGGAGCAACAAGAACTGCCTCCTTCTGAACACATCCAAGACCAAGGAGATGGTCATGGACTTTCGGAGGTCTAGGCCCTTCAGCCAGTCAACATTCGAGGGAAGGACATTGAGGTGCTGCACTCTTATAAATACCTAGGTGTGCACCTTGACAGTAAACTGGACTGGTCCCTGAACACAGATGCCATCTACCTGAAGGGGCGGAGCCGGCTCTTTTTCCTCAGGAGGTTCAGGTCCTTTGACGTCTGCAGTGAAATGCTGCACGTTTTATCAATCAGTGGTGGCCAGTGAACTCTTTTATGCTGCAGTCTGCTGGGGAAGCAGCATGTCAGACATGAACACAAAGGCTGAGTCTGTGCTGCAGGAGTCTGGACTCACTCAGGACTGTTGTGGAGAGACGCATGCTATGTAAGATGGAGGCCATCTTGGATAATACCAACCACCCTCTCCACAACATTCTGGCAGGACAGAGAAGCAGCTACAGCTGCAGCAAACGTCTCATCTCACTGCAGAACAGAGAGGTTCGGGAGATCCTTTGTTCCCACTGCCATCAGGCTATACAACACCTCAGCCAAAGGAAGTGGACTAATCTAATTATTATTGTTCATTTATTATCAACTGTTATTATTATTATTATTATTATCAACAATGAGCTAATGGACACATGAATTTCCCCTAGGGGATAAATAAAGTATCTATCTATCCACGTATCACTCCTCCTCACAGCTGTTCTATCAACCGTTAATCAGCGTCACATTAACGTCGTTATCGATCTCAGACTGTAACAAACAAAGATGAAAATATTTCAGAAATAATGTTTGAATGAAACGATGTCGTCAGGAGAGGATGAAGGAAGAAGGTGGATCCTTCAGAAACACCTGAGGGAACGAGGAGAGGTCAGGAACATGTTTATGTGTTGCTTAGCAACAGTCCAGCACCAGCCCAGTTGAACTACTAGCGTTGTGACAAATAAATGATGAAATAAACAAACAGATCATAATCTGTTGTTGCTCATTGAACTAACATGGCGCTGGTAGAACATCACACTGAGGGAGAGATGAGTATCAGCTGATTGTCTCTGACCCAATCACAGCCGGGCTGATATCCAGAACTACATCACCAGCTCAGTGTGATGTTGGTGTGTGTGTCTGATCGGTGAGATCAGCGATCAGTCAGATCATAAGGTTTGTGTTTTATTGCTGTTTAAATGGAGGCTGTTCTGTGGCTGTTTAATAATGTGTCTGGTGGTCGTTCCATATGATCTGGAATATTAACGGCCATTTTGACCTGGAGTGAACTCTGGTGCGTCTCTAACACAGGACGGACATTTTTGTCTCCGAGCCCAAACTGAGACAACGCAGTCAGCTGATCTCACTCATCGAACCACAGGAACAACAAGGTCCTGCACACACCATATGTGTCGAGCTGTGTGACACCTCACCTGTGCCAGGACAGGAGGAGGGGCGGGGCTACAGCCACACTCAATCAAACCCCACACATTCCTGTTGAATTAGAATAAGGTCACTTCTTCACTTCTGTTACAAACGTTCTGAACGATTGTAACATTAAAGTTCATATTAATATAAATATTAAATATATTCACAGTTTCTGTCAGGAAGCTGAAGACGGTCGCGCCATGAAGAGACAGGAAGTGAGAGACGTCATGTTGTTGAACAGGGACATTTTGTTCTGATGTTAAAGGCCAGACAGAAGAGGTGGCCATAACACACACGCATGCACGCACGCACACACGCACGCACGCACGCACGCACGCACGCACACACACACACTTATTTGTAAGGTAAACTCGTTGACATAACACATTCACTCACCTTTTACCCTAAAACCAAGTCTCTACCTGTGCAGACCTCACACGAGTCGCCATGGTGAAACAAGCCCCCACCAGGATATAAAAACAAGCCCAAACACACACACAGAAACAACACCAACCCCCCCGGAGGTGAGAGACAGTGACAGTGTTATGTGGCTTCATCACTGTGACCTCACGTCGGCTCGTTACATTAAAACCAGACCGAACACCGCGTCCAGCTGAGGCTCATGGGAACTCATCAGCTGTTTGATCAGAGAATCACCGGGGTTATTACAGTTCATCCTCAGGGGAACTTCCAGTAACAATGAGATGTTTCAGTTTGGACCAAAGTGGTGGACGGACCGACGACACCACCTGCAGAGCCATGATGCGTTCAAGGACAGAACCATGTGATCACAGTGTGATATTTCCTCTTTGGTTGGAGTTGTTGGAATTATTCTGATTATTAATTATCAATTACTTATCACGTTTTCTTAATTAGTGACTGGAGCCTTCTCTTTGGCCCGACATATGTCAAGTCATTCACGTTATATAACATTGACCAACGTGCTTTTCTTGGTCCGTTTGCTTTCAGACCACAAACCAAAACAAACAGGTAAACACACCAAAGTTCATGATGATGAACCAAACAGGTTAGGTGTAAAAACCAGCCTGTACCACAACCAGGTCCTGACATTAACACGATACTGGTCAGGGCTTTGGGAAACTGTTCGCCCAGCTCCATCAAAAGAGAAGAACAGAAACACTTAGTGGTTTCCTGAAATCACGTTTTGTTCCACCAATCATTTTATCTGCTGTCAGACTTTACACCTGTGTGAAAGTGCTCACCTGGTCTGTTGTTGTCCCACCTGGACGATATCACAGCTCCATATTGTTTCTTGTTGCTCGTCCCCATCAGACTTCTTCTTCTTCTTTTTCTTCTTCTTCTTCAGATGAGCACAAACAACAAGAGAGAGAAAGAAGATCAGACTGAGGTTATCAGCATCAATTTACCTTCATCAATCAAAAAACACTGACTCCGGCTCACTGGTTCCCTTTGACAGGTCAACCTTCAGTCAAAAATCTAAATGATTTGACTTAATAAAAGGGAAAGATGGAATAATAAAATGTTGGGAATGGTAGATTAGATTATCATTACAGTCACAGATTAATTTTCTGTCAATCAACTCAGTTTCATCTTAAGATCGATAGATAGATACATTATTTATCCCCTAGGGGAAATTCATTCTTTACGTATAATGCTGGTATAATGTAAAAAAGCACAACACTTTACAGTTTTGTTTAGATCCAGACCACATTTAATCAGGTCTGTATAAAAAAAAAACATGGACTACATTATCCCAGAGAAGTTACAGTCTCTTTAAAATTCCGAGTTAAGCTAACACCAGCTTCTGCGTGGAGCAATCTCAGCTGCGGCGGTATAAATCCGGCCCTGAATGTAAGTGAATCTAGTTGTAAAAGCAGGAAACTAAACGTGTACCCATCCGCTGCGAGCAGGGTTCGAACCTGCGCGGGGAGACCCCATTGGATTTCAAGTCCAACGCCTTAACCACTCGGCCATCGCAGCTTGCGCCTCTCTGGCACCTGCCACCATATTTCTTCGAGTTTTCGCATCGGATATCTTGTCACAAACTCAGCCTAGTTTAACGTGTACGGTCTTAAAAGTGAAACTTCACTACAAACACTGTTGGCGGTTTCTGCTCCGCTCGTTTTGCTGTCTGAGCGGATGGACACTTACCCGCTGGTAGCAGAGGTGCGGCACAGTCCCGGATCGCCTTCTAGAGAAGTAGCCATTTCCAAGGTTCGGCGTTCATATAAAGTTGATTACCGGACTGATGTTGACAACACGAACCCTCTGGACGGCAGGTGAACGACTCGGCAACCGTTCAGGGGTGTTGACGTGGATGTCCGGTGGGTACAAAGCAACAAAAACACGATTTAGTCCGACAGAGTGACGGTTAATCCCATTAAACTCAATACAACGCGTGTAAAATCCAAGATGGCGTATTGTTGCGTGCGATGCTGCTCCGCGGCTCGGTGCTCCCTCTAGTGGCCAGAAGCTGTATTAGAAAAACACCAAATAAAGAACTGTTGTTAAAACAGAACAAAATAAACGAAATAAAATATAGTTTCAGCTCTGCTTGTGTATACTGTTGGGTAGTTACTTTTAGAAGAAAGCATTATCTTTAAAAAAAAAAAAAAAATCTAATCTAATTTAACTAGTAATTAAAGCTGTTGAATAAAATAAACAGTATTTCGTTCAGAAATGTAATAGAACAGTATGAATATATATACATATATACACATATATGTATATATACATATATATATAGTACAAGCTGTACCTCAAAGTCATGCTTGCGTGCAGTACTTGAAAGTATTTAGTTAGATTTAACCAATGCAGAAATCAATATAAAATAAATATAAATAAAATATGAAATATTTATAGAATATTTATATTAATATTTCATTTTTTCAAACACAAGTTTAGAACCTGTAATTACATGTACAGTGACTTGGACAGATTTGTCCATTAAATATTAATTTACTCTGAATATATGTGAAACAAGCTGTTCATGTTCGCTTTTTTTTTTAACATATATTTTGCATCCTCTTTCATCAGCTCAGAGTAAACATCACTTCCTGTTTGATCCAGGTGAAATGAACCTGCTCCGACAGGGTAGTTTATTAGAGTTATGAGGGTGTGAGAATTATCTCTAATTCTAAGGAAAAGGTATTCTAAGAACAGGTAATGAAGACACACGATATTATGTTGCATTTCTTTGTTATTTTAGTTTATTACATTCACCATATTCAGTGTAGTGCACTCTCCACCTGACTACTAACTGTGAGAGACTATGAATGAGAAGAAAATGTCGCTGGAACAATACAGCACAACAGGACAAAGTGGAAGTGGAGCGTCAAACAGGACTAAAGAGAGGGGTTCTGTTGATTCTTCTGTTTAGGGAAATTAATTGTTCATATCAGTGATATGTATTTTACGGGCCGGTTATCTTACAGTACAATAAGTCTTTGTTTGAATATGTCACGTGAAATGAAATAAAACTATTAACGTCTCATATCCTCACCGCCGTCTGTCTCACGGGTAAATACTGATCCCCGGCCCTCGATGAGCACTGTGTGGGGATGTAGCTCAGTGGTAGAGCGCATGCTTCGCATGTATGAGGTCCCGGGTTCAATCCCCGGCATCTCCACTTTTTACTGTTCTTAATCTCGAGTTTATTGATCACATGATGAGTTTCTGACTCGATGATAATCATCTCTAAGATGGTCATAACAACACAGCTGTGTCTTGTGTAATCTCTTTCTTTCTTTTTTTTTTTTTTTTTTTACAGCAAAATACCATTGAAGGAACCATGCTGAACACATTATTAAAGTACTACCACGTTTCAGACAGCAGACAAAAAACAACAGTATTTTCAATACAAAATGCAGAAACACGTTTTAAAGGTCGTGTGTCCGTAGTAACCGAACCCGCTTTTATTTTGAAAGTCAGATGTCCAAACCAGAACCCTCTTTCCTCTCTTCTGTTAAAGTCGTTTCTGAAAACATAATTTTGTTTTGTGACAATAACTCAGATTACAGACGGGGTCTTATTCTTTCTGCGTCTTGATGAATGTTGTTATAATGTTCTATACCGTGTTCTTTGTGACGCTGTTGAGGTGAATTCGTGAAAACGCTGGTTCCACTGGGGCTCGAACCCAGGACCTTCTGCGTGTAAAGCAGACGTGATAACCGCTACACTATGGAACCAGTCGCCTTTAACGGTGTTCATCATGAATATATTATTGGACCATAGACTGTCTGTTGGCAGTATCATGCAGGGACATCAGCTCCTCTCACTGAGTTGTAATGTTCTCATAAATACGGACAGGTGACACTGTTTTACACACAGGTTAAATGTTGTGGATGAAAAGCCTCATTGAATGAAAATACTTGAATGAAACTACTAGAATTGGTTTCATAAAGACGGGTCACATGTAAACAGTCCAGCAGTGATGTACCTGTAGTGATGTGTTCAGGTGTTCAGGTTGAACCAACAGGATGTGGAGGTGTTGTGGTGGGAGGGGACTTAAAACAAAAAAGAGAGAGATGTGCAGAGTACCTGATGCTGCCATTCAGCACATCAACAGCCCAGAGAGGAGAGGAGGTGTCACTGTGCAGGTAAGCTTACCTGTCTGTCTGGTTTCATTTACATTATTATGACAGAATCAGCTTAAATTCTTGATCACAAACATCATCAATGAGGAGTGAAAGGGTCAAAGGTCACAGCAGTCTGACAAATTAACATAAACTGGGCAGTCTTAAAATCAGTTTGTGTCTTAATTTTTCTTGTAAAAATCTTCAACATAATTCAGATAAACGAGTCAGAAGGTAAACAAAGGCTTTTATTTTCTAATTTCCATCAGTGATGTAACTGGATTTACTTTTTATTTTGAGAGATAAAATATTTCCATAAAAGTGGAAAGAGAAGTGATCCTGTCAGTCCTGTTCTCCATAAAAACAAACTTTTATTCTCTTCTAACAAGAAGTTTTCTTCTGATTCCTACAGATTTATTATCACTTTCTTCATGAATTTGTGCTAAATTTGATGTGAAAAACCAGAGCAGTAATGCTTTGCTGGTTTGTGATGGTTTAATAGAATATTTCCTGGAAAGAACTAGCATCAGTTTTCATTTCACTTCCAGCTAATAAACATTAACTCTGGAGAATCACTGCCAGCTGAACAAGGAAGGTTTTGTCAACAGGCAGCAAACAATTCAATACTATTGAGGAATTACATTTTTGATAATAAGTGAATATTTACTGGGGTTTAAATTGAGTACAGGATGACTTCCTCTGTCCTGTCACTTACTAGTTGAAGAGTCAGGTAACTTGGCTTCAGTCATTGTCTGACAGTTAAACAGAACAGGAAGCTTTCTCGTCAGGTACTTATGAAAAATGAAGGAAGTGACCTTTAAGATGAAAGAATGCAGTGTTTGTTTGTGAGTGTGTTTACTGCAGCTCTTGTGGGGACACAACGCCCACGCTTAACGGTCGCGTTGCTCATTTCCAAGTCAAATACCAGAGAGGTAAACAAATGAGTTCTTATCAGAGACGGCAGATTCAACTAAACCCCAAACACAAAACACAACAGAGGACACAGCTGCGTTTTTCATTTCAGCCTTCAAACTATTTAATCTCCAGAGGTGGGCCATGCCACAAAATTTGGGCTTGATGCGTCAGCACATGAGAGCAGAGCCAGAATCCCTCTGTTACTACAGCTCTGTTTTACGTCTCGTCCGTTTCAAAACAAACCTTTTAAAACCTTTAAATTACGCTTGTTTTTGTAAAAAACACCATGAAGTGTTTGGACCAATGAGATTTAGAGAAGTAACTCACAGTATTACAAGAAAAAACAACATGTGTTAGGTACTGTAACCATGACGATGAAGGCACCAAAACTTAATTTTAACCATAGACTGTAAATAAAGATGGATTTTGCCTCTGTGACGTCACCCACAGTTTTCTGAAGCTTAGAGTGAGCTGCTTCACCGTCGCCATCTTGGCAGTGCCTGACTCCACCCCCTAACTCCCAGCTAATCCTAAAATGGACAAAGAGGAGGGGCCTGTGTGGAGCTGAGACTTAGGTGCATGTGGGTTTGTTGCAAGCATACCCTCCCCCACCTGTCACTCAAAGAGGCCACGCCCTCAATCCTCCATAACTTTAGTCCTTAATAAAATGTAAACAGGTGAGTTATATAAACAGGTGTCATGAAGGAGGAAATTAGCTCTAGAGACCAAAACAGTTTTTGTACCAGGCTGTAAACATGTTTATTTCTGCTGTAAAGTTGGACATTTTAACATGGGAGTCTATGGGGACTGACTCACTGTTGGAGCCAGACTCTAGTGGTCGTTAGAGGAACTGGCCAACAGGTGGCGTCGTATTGATCCGTCGCCCTGTCCTCACCAGCTGTGGCACCATCATGTCTGACATGACAGCTTCCTGTCAGGAGTTTGAGGTGACCGTCCACACTTCACCTGGTCCCACCTGTGGAACCTACAGCCACCTGTGGCTCAACCTGATTGGCTCGCAGGGAGAGACTCCGCCCACCAGCGTGAATGAGGGTGACCGTCATCTCCTGTCGGGATCGGTGAGTTTCACTGTTTCCTGCTTGAGATTCAACACAAACTGTTTATTTACCTTGGAAATAGTCATTTTACAAACAGTTTCAGCACTAGCTACACTCACTAAGCTAATGAAGGCCACAAGATGTGGTTGAAAGTCTGGAAACATATTTACCAGCTGAAACGTTCCTCACCATGATATTGTCAGTTCTGCTAATGAACTGACTTTGTCGTGAGATTATTTGAATAAATATTCCCTAAACTGCCACTGTCCTTGTTTTAAACTACATCCCACCATGTTTGGTAGATAACAGCAGGTGGTTACCAGCTACCTGTGCTCTGTGGTGTCTAGTGGGATCACAGGTAGCCCGCCCTGCTGCTGCCCAATCAAAATACAGAACGCCACTGTTGCCCCTTCACCTCTTCAGAGCGTGAAGTTACTGATCTCTTGTGTTTGTTTTCAGAATAAGGAGACTTGACCTTTGAGTTTCACTATGACGGTCTCCTAACAGGTGTGTCCGGTCCAGATCCGGACCAATGAGCCTCTGGGTCGCCCGATTCTGGTCCGGCTCCGGCTGGAGGCTCAGACAGGACTCCCAGACCTGGACTGGCACTGCAGTCGCGTGGAGGTCCGCAGGCTGGCAGGAGGAGAGGGGTCAGAACCTGCAGATCCAGAACCACAGGTGTTCCTGTGCGACAGGTGGCTTCGAACAGCAGATGGCGACGTAGAGCTGCAGAGTGGAAAGTGTAAGAAATAGAAGTTAGAGAAGATACGAGGTCGAGCTGAGGAGCACCTGTTCAGACTTGCTCTGTCTTCACTTTGTCATAATATGCACGTTTTGTATTTATGTGTTTCCTCTGATGGTGGATGTGACTCGTGCAGGACAAGCTTCAGGTACAGAGGCAGTCAGTCAGTCATAACAGTGACGGGACACAAAGGTTTCTAAGCTTCCTAATCTTGTTGTAAACATTTCCTGTGCTCAGTGACTTCAGGTTTCTGTTATTACTATAACACTGCAGTGTGTTTGCTGAAGGACGAGACGGAGGAGAAGCTGAAGCAGCAGAGACTCAGACTCCTGCAGCATCAACAGAAGATCATCAGGTAAATAGAAAGACGTCTGTTTTCTTTTCAGGCAGCACAACTCTCCCTTTTCTTCACCCGAGCACAGCTGCAGCTCGATGAAGCTCTGAGACTTTTACAATGAGAGAAAGATCTGTTGACTGTCAAAGCCTCAGTCCACAGAGAAATGCACACAGCCTGTATTCAGAAACTGAGCCTGGTGTCAGATTATCCTTCCACTCTGTTGTTGCAGGTGGCGAGTCTACGTAGATGGCGCTCCGCAGTGTGTGGACATCGACAGTCTGTCTGAACTCGGGCCGAACCTCATCTACACCCACAAAAGGTGAAGTCGAGCAGAGGCGGACAGACTCAGGACGGTGGAGCGCAGAGAAGAAGAGTCTGAACGGTGTTTATTTCTTTGTCCTCAGCTCAGCCCCGAACCTGCTCTACCTGAAGGGCTTCGCCGGTCGAGCGGAGGCCTGGTCGAGTTTCACAGAGCTGGAGACGGTCTTCTCCCACAGCGGACAACACAACGACACCGCCCGTAAGAGACGCAACAACACACACTCACTCTAAAGCTTTGTGCTGATAAGAAACCACAGTGAGTATGACGTCGTCCGTTCAGCATCAACGCCTGCAGGGAACACGTCAGTCAGTTTAGTCATTTAAAGGCAGGAAACCATCAGATCTGAGGAGCGATGATGAGGAGGCGGGAACCTTCGTCACATTAACACAAGAAACAAACGGAGATGTCGGATCTCAGTCTCAGACTCAGTTCTCAGTTGGATGAACTGGTTGTTGCTCTTTCTTCTTTACAGTTTATTAGTGTGATGAATGTGAGGCTCAGACCCTGCAGAGGATCAGGACTGCTGCTTCACTTGTTGACAGTCTGTCCAGATTAACAGGACCCACTTCGTCTGGTCTCTCAGGGTTCGTCAGGACTCACTGGATGGACGACTGGTATTTTGGTTACCAGTGTCTGAACGGCCGCAACCCTCTGCTGCTGCGTCAGCTCCGCCTCCTCCCTCCACACCTGTCCGTCACGCCTGACATGCTTCGCCCCTTCCTGCCTGAAGACTCCTCCCTCGATCAGGAGCTACAGGTGTGCATGTGTGACCTCTGACCTCCAGCTGTTCTCTGCCTCCAGCTGTGCACCTCATCACAGCTGCTGTATCTTCTTCTATCACGTGACAGAAAGGAACCATTTACCTGCTGGACTACGAGGTTCTGGACGGCGTCCCGGCCAACGTGATCAACGGGAAGCAGACGTACCTGTGCGCCCCTCTGTGCCTGCTCCACCTGAACCGGCAGCAACAGCTGGTCCCCATCGCCATCCAGGTGAGCTCCAGCTGTTCCCTTGGTCAGTGGGTTTGATTTTAAATGGACTGTTCTTCCTTGATCGGATGGTTTTCTCTTGTCTTTTCTCTTTCTTCTGAACCAGATATTTGTTCCGGTCTGTCACACTCAGATCGATGTCGTCTGTTCTGTTTGTTTGTTTGTATTTACTGTTGGAACAACCTTTTAATCTCAGTGGGACGTTCACCTGGTTCAATAAAGGAAAATAAACTAATCATTCTCTTCCCTTCAACAATGGCAGCTGCAGCAGACGCCCGGCCCTCTGAACCCGGTCTTCCTGCCCTCTGACCCCAGCTGTGATTGGCTGCTGGCTAAGATCTGGGTTCACAGCGCGGACTTCCAGTGTCACCAGTTGGCCTCCCACTACCTGAAGACCCACATGCTGGGGGAGCTGTGCTGCATGGCCACACTGAGACAGCTGCCTGACGTCCACCCACTGCACCAGGTCCACACCACCACCTCA